TCAACACAGCTGCCTGTGGTCCTTTCCACGCGGCGGGGCCCTCCTGGGTACGACAACCTGAGGAATGTGGACCCGAAGTACCAGGCTGCTTCCCACCTGGTTCTGGCTCCTTCCTCCTTGACTTTGGCCAGGGCAGAAGGCCCCAGGGTGGGGGGGCGGAGAGTCTCTGCCTCCTGCGTTAACCCAGGGCCCTGTCTCCTTGCCCACCACCTCTTCTGCCAGGGCAACCCCAGCTCTTGCAAAAATGGAGCGTCTTAGCCCCTCACTCAGGCCTCCTTGGGAAAGGAGGTAGTTGCAATATAACAAAAAGACCCCGAACAGAGAGCCTGGCAGACCAGGGCTTTCCTTCCGGCTTTGCCGTTTAGCAACGTGTGACCCAGGCAGGCTACATGCCCTTCAGGGCTCCATTTCCTCCCTATAATATTGCCTCTCCTGATCCGCAGGCCCCACGCGGACAGGCCCAGCACGAGCAGGCATTTCTAATCACCTCCCCCATCTGGTTCAAGGGCAAGAGGTGAAGCCTGTGGCCTCACTTTCATGGGCTGGGGTGGATTGGTTTGTTGGTTGGTTGGTTTTTGAGTTTGGTGACTGTCTTATTCCCAACTGCTCTTGAGAACAAACGCCTCGCTACGGGATAGTGAAGTTCTAGGAAAAAAAAGAAAGGCCTCCCATTATGAAATCATATGCGCTCACAAACTGGTGGGAAAAAATAGTAAGTAAACAGAGACACACAGAAACACCCCCAACATTAAGGCCTCCTGAGAAATCCTCTGGAACCCCAGGGGTCAGCACTGAAAAATCTGGTAACACTGGGCCGTCATCTCGGATGACCACATTCACATGGCTTTGACCACAGGCAGCCCCTTCTGTGTGTGGTACAGGCCTTACCACCTGTCTTGTACCTGATTCACCTGCTTCACTCACTTCCTCCACCTGTTGGCCCCTGAAGGCAGTCTAGATTTTGATCCCTGTTGCAGATGAATAAGAAGTAACATGAATTTAGCACTGACTGTGTGCCAGGCTCTAACTGCATTGCATGTATTAACTCATTTTAGCCTCAAAATAACAATGAGGTAGATACTGTTTTTATGCCTTGTCACTCAAGGAATATTCACTGAGAGCCCAAATCTGCCAGGCACCATTCAGGCAATGGCAATGTGGCTGAGAACAAAACAGAATCCCTGCCTTCACGGAGCTTTCGTTCTGGCACAGGCATAGACAGCACATGGGCTCATTAAAAGTGAATCAGGAGGTATACCTGCAAGGGAGGAAAATAAAGCAGGGTTTGGGGCATGCAGACAGCTGGCAGCAGGGTGCATTGTAAATAGACTAGTCCAGCTTGCTGAGAAGGTGACATTTGAGGAAAGCTTTGAAGGGGGTGAAGAATTTCAGGAGCACTGTAGGCACAGAGAGGTTAAGAAACACGCCTAGGGTCACACAGCTAGTAAATTGCAAAGCTGGGGTTTGAGCCGGGGCTGGCTCCAGAGCCTGGCTTTTAAGGGTTGCGGTATAGGGCCCAATGCAAGATGCCACTCCTGTCCCTGGGACCTTCAGAGTTTGGGGTGGGGGGGGGGG